ACAAACTCTTTTAGAAATTTTGAGATTTTTTATTCTTGAAGCCAAATCTGTTAAAGTCTTCTATATCTTATACACAGCTAATTTAGACTTTAGTAACTTATACTTTGGTTATCCAAGTCTCAATTTAAGAATATAAACTTTACTAAAATCTATATATAAAGGCTTGTTAATAGAAAAAAAGTTTTTACAATAATAATTTTTTTTAAATTTTTAAATTAAAATATCTTAATAACTACTATATTAAATTAAAAATTTTTTTAAATTAATTTTATAATTTTATAGAATTAAAATAAAAAAATTTATTAAATTTAGTTTACTTAGAAGAAATCCTATCTCTTTCTATTGACAAGCTCTTTTATTATAAACTCTAACCCTAAATTTTAACCTAACTCTAAAAAAAACATAGCCTAAATAATTTTTAAAATTTTATATTAAAATAATTTAAATTCTTAGCATCATTCTTGACAAACAGTATGTGCGCCAACTTTAAAATCATATGTGCAAGTTTATGTACTATGCTTACTGCACTGATTACTGATCAGAATCATTTCTTTATTTGGGGTACGTCTAAAGCTATGTGCGTTAAAGTTACTTTTTTGATACAGTTAGGGTTATTTTTTGATGCAGTAATGGTTAGTGGTTTATACAGGGGGGTAGCATATTATTATGGATACTTTTAAAAAATTTATATTAAGCTAAATAAGCAAGATATTAAGTCCAAAATTATATAAAATATTGCTTAAATCTAAGGTTTTTAAATAAAAAAAATTTCATAAAATTCTATACAATAGTTGTTAAAATTGTTAATATTACACAAAATTGTATAATGTTATACTTGTATGAAATTAGTAATTTTACAAATATGGTTAGATTAAGTTTTTTATAAAATAACTTAATTTTTTATTAAATAAACTAAATTTGATTATTATATAAAATTTGTTCAGTATAATAAATTACATATAATTCTAAATTTTTAAAAACTTTTAAAAATTTCAAACTAAATATTATAACTAAATCTAAAAGCTAAATTATTAAATTTAAAATTAACAAATTGCTAAATATAGTAATTTTTATTATTTTTAATAATTTTATGAATATTTTTTTAAAAAATTTAAAAATTTCAGAATATGTGTATTTTTTTATGCTGACCAAATTTTACTTAATAATTAAGCTTAGTTTACTTAATAAAAATTAAGTTTAATATGTACTAAAAATTAAAATTAACATTTATACTAAACCTCTATTAAAAACTGGGTTTTAGTATGAATGAAAAAATCTTAAAATTTTTTAAACTTAATTATTTCAAAAAGTACTGCATAGAATTTTATATATTTTTTTTATTTAAAAGCTTTAGATTTGAATAATATTTTATATAAATTTTAGCTCTATATCTTGTTTATTTAGTTCAATATAAATTTTCAAAAAGTGTCCACAATAATATGCTACCCCCCTGTATAAGTATCAATAAAATAATTTATGTAACATATAGATCATTTCCAATTTTATACCAAACGCACACGGCTTTAGACGATCCCTTTATTTGGACGGTCACCTGAAATCTCCAAAATCTCGTGTAACAAATTTTTTTTTTAAATATATAGTGATGCCAACCAATTCGATCAACCATTTTGGATGGAATCAAAAGGAATGCGCAAAATAGGTATTATTCGTTATTAAACATTCGTTCTATGATTTTGTCTGTTTCCTTAATAATTTGTATCAGTTTTTGTGACTGGTAATGTAAAGAAACTTGAAGAAGTCCAGGCAATTCTCGGAACAACAGTTGAGCTAGTTCATTATAAACTCGATTGTACGTTTCCTTTTTTTTCGTGCTTTTAATAAAAGTCGCGCTTGTTTTCACATGCATTCATACATATTTTTTAAATATAGTGACCGAGATACAGGGTACAAGCCGTGAAGTTTCTGCAGATAAATGCCGACGCGCCTCTATTGAGGTTAATTTAATTCAAATCATATTCTTTTATTTTTCACAAATTGAAACCTGAATCTCATTCACATGAATCCAGCTAAATGGACCTGCTATAACTGAGGATACTTGCCTTTGTTTTAACGCCTTGGAAGGACTTCCAGGACCATATATGTTAGTTTTTGGAAGCTTGAATTTATTTATACTATCATTATATGTTTAACTCATCTTCATTTCAGAAAATGGTTTTTAGATAAATTAGGTCACCATGGTACGTGTGTACTTAGGCTAATTAATATTTTAATTCAAATCTTAATAACTCTTTACCACAAAAGGTGATCGATGATATATGGATAGAAATAGTTTGATCATATGGAATGACAGATTTAATTCCTAAACAATCATCATATTGTACTTGTAAACGTGTATAATTGGATTTTATTTTTAAATTTTACCGTATTTGTGAGAAATAACGTACATAGGCGTTATTTTGAGACATGCAATTTAAAGAGAGCTAATAATTAATTTCATCAAAGATTTTTTTTATAATCATGGTTCGCATTCGGTTAAATTATTATTAGTTCTCTTTAAATTACATTTCTCAAAATAATACCTACGGGCGTTACCTCATGAAAATATGGTAATCTTTAGGAATTAATATGTCGTTCAAAATTGTCAAATTATAATTGTCCACATATCATTGGTCATCCTATGAGAGCATCAGGATGCAGGAGACAACTCACTATAACAAAATGATATTCTGGAATAGTTCGCACATAAAACTATTATTGAAACTTCAAAATCTGATAGGTTTTGTATCAGTATTGAGAGTAATCAGACTTGAAAACATAAATTATTAGATCTATATAGCAGAAACAGACTTGGCAGAAAGTTGTCGGAGCGGTTAACATTCACATGTTTTTCCAACCACGTTTTCTATGCCGAGATAATATAAAGTTAAAATTTTGCGGTTTGTCCACCCAGAATCGATTATAAGAGGTTTTGTTATAGAGAGTTGAGTGTCGGGATGGTAAAAAAAAAGTGTTATATTGTTTTAAAAGAGATGATGTTTATAATATGAACATGTTTGAGTTCAGATTAACATATTCAGATCATAATCATCATTTTTTTTTTATTAAATATTTACCATCCTCAATTGAGTATACACGTTTCTCAAGCCAACTATCTATCGGAACTATCGTATCTATTGTTAACAGTGTTAGCTTGTGGACTATGTCCAATAGAAATTTTACTTGGACATAGACATATTGATATATAAAATTTTATATATCCAAATTTGTTCAAATAAGATTTTATATGTTCAAATTTTGTCCAATTGCTAACACTGTAAATTACGAATATACCTGCCGGCAAATTCCAAACTATATATTAAAAATTAGTTTGTACACATTTCCAAAGTTTATATCCCGGCAAAATAATATATATTATTATACATAATATATTTGTAAAATCTTTAAGAATATGTTTTAATCCAATTTTTTATTAAGTGAGTTTTGCCGGCAGGTATAATTTATGGCATAGTTCTGATGGTCACGTGTACGACTGGTATCATTACATCCTGTGCTTTCGTCATCCTATTTATGCCCTAATACTCCAGGTTTAACCAAAATGTTATCTGGCTTTGAAGATAAAACAGCATATGCTTTGTGTACTTTTGCGTATTCCGCTAAGCCCGGCACCGAGCCAGTATTATTTGAAGGGCGTACAAACGTAAGTTTAACTTTTCCTTTGGTCAGTTTATAGCGGATAAATATATCTAAATATTTAATTTATTATTTAAAGGGAAAGATCGTACCGCCACGTGGCGCAACTAATTTTGGATGGGATCCAATTTTTCAACCTGACGGATTTGATCAAACGTACGATAATATTTTATTTAATCTGTCAGTGTTATTATATTAATTATTAACATTATTTCTCATAACTGATGGATAGATATGGCGAAATGTCTAAGGAAATCAAGAATACAATTTCACACCGGTACAAGGCCCTAAATAAATTAAGAGATTTCCTTATCACTAATAGTGATTAATTGTTTCAGAAATATTAAATTTATAATTTAAGTTCGTCTTTCTTTTATAATACTGTTTGTTCTGTCTAACCTCTTTTTATAATGTTCAAATCAATTGTTATTTAATCTATATGTATATATATATTATATGTTGCAAGTGTTCATAAATAAAATCTTATTGCATCTGTAATACTTGCTTTATTAATGCCTATAATTTTAGAAAATATATCTCTTAAATGGGAGCGATCTTCGTAAAATTAATATATTTGACGTTCAAAAAAACTTCAAGATATATGAAAATTATAAATATATAGTGTATTCATCTTAATAATTGTACGTACGTATAAATATTTTTAAGAATGTTACATTTATTATCAGATTATAAGGTAAGGTTTTTAAATCATAACTTAAAATTAATTATTCCTTGTAAAGTTTACGTATGTAGGTATATTATTGTTAATCCGCAGATAGTGTATAATCTAAATATACTTTTTTTAAATAATATACATACTGTGTATAAGATATAGAAGACTTTAACAGATTTGGCTTCAAGAATAAAAAATCTCAAAATTTCTAAAAGAGTTTGT